ATGTGATAATCATTGACCATTATAGATGTACACACATTACGTGTAATTCAATCGCATCAATTATTTTTCTTCATGTCATAAAATAAATGTTTATTTGTTATTGAATCAAGGCAATTCATCAAAATGGCAATACAGATGTATTGACAATTGCACAACATTTTCTTTGTTTTTTAGAACATTTTTTTGTAGAAAATAAACACTGAATTGTTTTATTTATTTATCTGTTTTAATAAAATTAATGAGATGGATTTTGAATCAAATAAATAATGAGCCTTATTATTTATTATGGGTAATTTGTTATGATCCAATATTAATAATGATATTCAATAATTCAATGGTTAGTAAATAATATAAAATCAACAATCTCACATATATGGTGATGATAATTTTTGTATCAAGGATAAGAAAATTAATTACATGGAAATTGGAATCAACAACATTAAATAAAGTTATTAATATATATATTTTGATATCAAACCATTGCAAATCAGGAATACTAGTGTTTGGTTTAATTTAGATCAAAATAAAAAATTTACAAGAGATCAAATCTACAAAAGTTATAAATAATACTATAAGGTGTAAAAGGTTAACTGACAAACAACCTGTATATATTCCTCTCTGGTTTTAATACATTGGAAATAAATTAGTTAATTTAGGATTTGGATCAAAGAATTTATAATCAAATAGAATTTTATTAATTCATCATCTTTTTTTAAAATACACTTGATAGGACTATAAATGTTTGTGTTGGCATAAAATAGCTTTATATAATGTTTTACTTGAAATAAATTTGGTAAAAAATGGCTAATATTGCTAGCAAAATTCCAATAAAAATCAATAATACTTGAATATAACCTATAATGTTTTTTAAACAAAAAAACCAAAAATGATGGATAATAAATTATTATTATTCTACTTTCATGTGGCCATCTGGTGACAAAGATAGATATATAGCAGTGTATGAAATACCTAATTTTGGGAAATCAAAAAATATTCAATTTT